AATAAAGCTACATCAGACAGCTACAGAATGTACAGAAGAGTACATGCCCCAAATAGATATTCAAATGTACTTGGTGGGTATTACAGTACAAAGAAAATAAGGAAAGAAGCAGTTAGTTACAGAGAGGCAAGCAATATTAATAGGGGTGACAGATGTAGGATGTAGGCACATGGTATTGTAGTAAATGTTCTAAAGCATTCTTTTGGCCCAAGATTAATTGTATGGAGAATACTAATCTGGGGAAAGAATATGAGGAGGGAACTGTTCACCTCAGTTGATAGTAGCACTGGTGAAGTAACCCAATTAGAATAAAACAGTAAAATTACTAAAACAGATATGCAAGTTCCTGATATTGGGCTGCATCCAGATATTGAGCTTTCCAAAACATAGCTTGATAATGAAAGGTGAGATTCTATGCATTTCAAAGGCATAACCATACAGAAGCTGAGCTTTTTCAAAATGAACAGTGTCATCTTTTGCTATTTTTTGCTACCAAATATGATGGGCAGTGGGTGGTTGTCCTAGTTAGAACAGCTGGGACCAGTTCATCACTGGATGGGTGTAGCCCAAAATTGTGTATTCTATAGCCTTCCATGCCATTTCCCAGAAACTGTTATCAATGAACCATTTACACCATCTGCACATAAAGCCTGACTGCTCAGGCTATAAACTAGGTGCTAAGAGGCCTGTGAGATACGAGTTGCTCTTGTCCTCACATCCACTGTGGAACCCCCCGCCCTGAGGGAGGTACTGAGCATGCCTGCCTGAACTGGAGGATATATAAGCTTGGAGTCTTGGGACCTTTTTTACCACTCGTGGGATCCAGAGGAAGACTGCAGATCACCGCTCTCAACCAGACTGAGACCACCACTCTCGACTGGACTGCAACCATCACCCTTGACTAGACTGCAACAGCACTCTCATCAACAGGTTTTTTCTCTCTCCTTTACTTCGGACTCAGGGGGCCCAAAGAACACCACTCTGTTCATACCCCAGGGTGCTGGGTTATACATTTGGGTTTTGTGGGTTAAAACCAATTGTTTGTCTGTACAATCGTACTTATGTATTATTTTATTAAATTGTTATTCTGACTTCTATTCTCTCTTTTGAGTTCAGTTCGTTTTCCCCTGCTGGTTTACCTTTAAACCAGCACAGTGGTGTTGAATCAGGTTATTTCTCCCAACACTGCCTTTAGGTCAATCCAAACAGTTTGCTCCTACTGAGATGAGATTGTGTTTCTTCCATTTGCACCCACACACACATACAACCACACACAGCTGCTTCTATCCCTTATCCTGCATAAGCTCTGAAGCTTGCTAGACTCCCTGTCTGAGCAGATTTATCTTATTAATCAAGTGATTAAAACTATATATATAACTTTTTGATAAATTGGGAGATTAATCAGTACATAGACAGAGCCTCTCAGTGCACAGAAATGTCACAGAAACATCTTAAGGCACCTGGTGTGAACAGAAGAGTATGTGACATCTCTCATTTTCAATAGCGATCAGTTCAAGCCACCACCAGTTACGTGGTTCTCTTTGTCCCATTGGTTGTAATCTGCATTCTTCTATTAGTACAACCTTTCATTTGTTTGTCTCTTAAACTTTTTTACGAAGCTTAAAAATCAAGCACTTTTTTGAGGAATTTCTCTTCCAATTAGAGGAGTTAAACTACCTGGGCAATGTGGGGGATATTGTTAGGAAATATGATTAATGGAAAGAGTTTCACCCCCTACAACCACAACTAAGTAAAAGGAAGCTAAGTTCTGTTCTACTTGCAGGATGTGCCTCTCTGCTTTCTAGTTTTAAAAGACATTCTAGGGATGGTTACATTCTTTAGAAAAGTACTGCTAACAGTATTCAGCTTTTTTTTTTTCCTTCCTTTTTTTGGTGTTCTTGCTGAGAGAGATGTCACATGAAAACAGTTTGAATTTATATAGAAATTAAATTAGCTGCTGTGATCTTCCCGTCTTCCCTAACATCCTACAACCACAGCAGTCTTAGTTTCCCTGTAAAATTGTTGTAACTATTCCTACATAGTAACAGTTACTGCATCCTGCAAAATTGTTGCTTATTTGCAGTAGCATCCACCAAAGACCTTGGTAAGCCAAAGGAAAAAAGAGAAAGGGGAAAAAAAGAAACACAAACAGACAGGATACTGACAGGGCGCTGATAACATTGAGTATACTGTATAAGCCCTCATAAGACTTAAATTATTTCAGGACCTTGCCCCAGCATTTCCAGAAGGGACTGCCTTCCCCTACTCCAAGGTGAAATGAAACATAAATTAGGTCTGACAACTATGGCAACCAGCTCTCCTGAGTGTCACTATTGGACATGCTTCAAATTTATAGTAGTCATCACACTACAGTAATTGGTGACGTAAGAGGAAATGGCAAGATGTGTAGTTTACAATTTAGGAACCTGTGAAACAGTCTACTCTAGTGTGTTGTCATGAAGAGAGGGAGAGAGGGAGGTGGGGAGTGAGAGAAGAAGGGTAGGATAAGGGAGGGAGGGAGGGAGAGAGGGAGAATTAAGAGAGAGAGGGAGGGGGACAGGGAGGGAGGGAGGATTAAGAGAGGGAGAGAGAGTGGGATTAAGGGATTAGAGGAGGGAGGAAGGGAGGAGGGGAAGGAAGGGGGAGAAGGCGGAGGGAAGAAGGGAGGGAAGGAGGGAGGGAGGGGGGAGGGAGAGGGAGAGGGAGGAAGGATGGAATTAAGGAAGGGAGGGAGAGAGATAGGGAGGGAGGGGGGACTGAGGGGAAGGAGGGCAAAGGAGGGAGGGAGGGAGATTAGGGGGGAGGGAGAGGGGAAGGAGGAGGGAGAGGGACAGGGAAGGAGGGTGGGATTAAGGGATTAATGGAGGGAGGGAGGGATAGAAGGTGGGATTAAGGGAAGGTTGGGGGGTGGGAAGGGGAGGCAGGGGGAGAGGGTAGGAGGGTGGGATTAAGGCAGGGAGGGAGGTCGGATTAAGGGAGGGATGGAGGATGAAGGGAATAAGGGATTAAGGGATTAAGGAAGGGTGGGAGGGAGGGAGGGAGGGGGATGGGTGGTAAACACCCGCAGAAGGAGTGGTTTGATACCTGAAGCAGCACTGAAATCACATCCCTACACCTGGCATAACAATAACTAAGGGTAAATACTCACCCTGAATAATTTTCTGTCCGCATTAGTTCAGCCTGCCTCTTCTTTATGAATAATAGAACACAGTTGTAAGTTAAAAATAACTATTGGAGTTTCTTGGCAGGAGTATTTTTAACTCCTCTCTATGTCCTAATGCAATTCACAGAGTGTTCTTTATAAAGTCTTGTACTGGCACAGCTGAGAGAGTGGAGCAGGTGTGAAAATGACCTGAGGGCACAAGAGTTGCTTACATTAAGGAGGTCACCTAAGAAAGTTCATTTAACAGGACAGGAGTGTTATAAATGTGTCTAATATTTAAAGTGACTTCAACCCCAATTTTCACATCCTTATAACTCAGTGTAATCACACATTCCTTTTAATTGCTGATTTTTGCTCTTATTGGTCAATGAATGCCTGCTAGTTTCAGAGGTGATTTCTGATCTCTTTAGGCAGCGTCAAGTCTGAGATATAGCACCAGAGCACCAACAGGATGGGTAGCTGTAGAAGATGTCAAAATCATAGAATCATTAGGCTTGGAAGGGACCTCTGGAGACCATCTAGTCCAACCCCACCGCTAAAGCAGGATCACCTAGAGCAAGATACACAGGAACATGTCCAGATGGGTTTTGAATGTCTCCCGAGGGGGAGAATCCATGACTGTGGAGTCAAGCAAGGACTGTTGGTAATAACAACCAAGGATTATTGGTAACAACAAAGGATTGTTGGTAATAACGCAATGTGAGAAAGACCAGGATGTAGCTGAGCTGGAGAAGGGGGCCATACAGAAGTAGAGGGACACTTCTCCAGGGCAAACATCCTTGTTGTGGCTCCTGTAGATAAGCACAACACAGTGCAGGAATGAGGCTGAGAAGTGGACATGGACTGTAGAGCAAAACAAGACCAACAGAGGCACTCAAAGCCCTGTGACCCATTTCCAGAAAGGTCTAAAAGAAAGGACTGCACGTGATAACAAATTTGCATAGAAAGCGAGAAACTTATCTCTGAGGCAAGGAAGCCTCTCTACAAAAAGCTATCCCCACAAAACCCAGGCACATGTGCGCCCTCAGGATCCTGGACTCCCCCTCAGCTGGATCAATGCTGGAGCTGGGACTCTCTCTCCCTCTCCCTCCCCCTCCTCTTTAATTCACTCCTCTCTCTCTTTCTTCCCTTTCACCCTACCTCTTTACCTGTGTGTTTATACTGGGTGATCAGGGACTAACTTGTACCAATTTCCATGCCGAGTGTGTAATTTACTAATAAAACTTTGTAAGTTTTTGTGGACTGTTTGACTTCTGCTGTTTCTTTTGACTCTGAGCATCTACGAATCTTGGGTGTTTCCTTCCCCTTAAGGGTGGGACATTGCAGCAGTATGATGTGTGTAAAAGGGCAAGCTTCAATCCGAAACAAGAACCTTTCAAAGCAAAAGAAAGTGGACATGTAAATGGCTTTGTATCATCTTCAGTTGCAGAGAACAATTGATTAACAGGGAATAGGCATGGTTTGAGTGTCACATTGATAGCAATGGTTTATTGTAATTTGTGCCATTGAAAGTTGCTTGTCCGTAAATAATACAAGATATTTCCTGTGCTTATGAGAAATGAAATACCTTGGCAACATTGCAGCCTTTTCATCTCTATTCATTACCTAAGGCACATATAATTTGGAGCTTAAAATGCCTCTGTTTCAGACAGCATGAGACTTTTGCTCTTCTTAGGGTTGTCAAAATAAAAAGGATCAGCAAGAAAGCCTCTGGCAGAAAATCCGGATAAGGGCATTGCAAATATTGATGAGGAAATCCTGTTTCAAATTACACCATCCATGCAATGTCAGATGTAAAGCTTCAGATCAAATGCGGATACTGACACAATTCACCTCCTTTTGTTACTATTATATAAATTAGTTTCTGTTTGGAATCAGGACTCCATCTCTACATTTGCACTGCATAAATCAGAGTAAAAGGATTTCTACATTTTCCTGCAAGGAGAAATTACATTTTTGCTTCTTTCCCCTTCAGCTATTTTCACTATTTTTCTTGTTCGCATAAAATGGGACTTTCACTGTGTTAATTGCTAGAATTCACCATCTTGAAATGTATGGTTTTTCTTGTAGACCAAAAATGGGTGATCAAGGTCTGATGTGGAAAAGCCTTTAGCTGCTCTTCTTGTGTTTCTGTACACAAGCAAGGTATTCTTGCACATCATCTGAAGAGCCAAGTATAAGAGGAACTCTCTGATGAATATTCTCAGGTTTCACATCCAACACTGCTTCAGTCCCTGTAGTTGCCATCCCACCCGCTTGCTCAATGATGAAAGCCATAGGGTTGCATTCATAGAGAAGTCGGAGCTAGAAAGAAAGAGGAAACACATGGTTGCCTTTGGGGGAAATTATATCAAAAGACTTACCAAAACCCAGCCTTCCTTTTGTGATTTTGGAAAATTTTGTACCAAACTTCAGTTGACCTACGTAGCAGTGTCTCTCAAGTCAGGCCCTTCTTCTTTACTCTTCTCTTCTCACCTTATACCAACCCTGCATCCAAGCATCACCACTCTTGTTTCCAAGCTGACATACTGATGTGCAGCACCAGTGAAACTGTATTTTGTCAAAAATGTCAAAAGTAACTGGCCCACAGACATCAGCAAAACAGTTAAGCCAGCTAAGTTAATAGTACTGGAAAAAAAAAACCAAAATATCTTCCTTTATGTGCTACCTCAGAGCTTGGGACAATTGTGTTATGTTTGGTCAGGATATTTTAGAGTTTGAAATTTGATGCTCCCAGCTTCAAATTTCAGGTATTGATTGCTTCTCTTCAGAAATATGCATAGATCTTAGTGGCCTGAACTCACCCAGATGGTGGCTGTGTTTTCAGAAGTAAATGTAGTTTTTATTAAAAGCAAATTTCCCGTTTTAGGTTGGACCCTGATATCTGTTTACATTTTCTAAAATATTACCTCTTGGGATGACTGTGCTCTGGTGGAATGAAAACTGATTTGGGACATATGCCAAAAGTTTCTGTGTTTAAATGGGCATAGATGATAGCTGGTCATTTTTTGAGACATTATTTCTGTAGATTTATTTGTGAAGTGCTCATGTGGAACTATTAGTACACATTTTGTTTAAAGGGCTCTTCATATGTGCTAAAGAGAGAATGTTTTCTGGGGAAAAGGAAGTACGACAGAATGCAACTCTATTAAGACAGAGAAATGGGTTGAACACAGGACTTCATTACCCATCCTGTCTTTAGCACACTGTAATAAAACCATAATATACCACAAGCTTAAATAGTGCCATTCTTATCTTTAAATCCCACTGAAGTGCTACTTCTGGTACAAGGACTCCATCTGACTGGCAACATAAGACCAATAGCCTTTACTGTTCTTATTGCTTGGCCCACTTTTGGAAGATCGTTATCAGAAAACAAAAGTCATATCACCATGGAACCACATGTCGCATTTCTTGTTGTTTAACTGTGATTATGCAACTTAAGGAAAGCAGTTTTTCTTCAGATAGCAGTGCAATTGCACTTAAGGATCTTCAGGTGGGCTCTGTCTTCAGATAGGTTTAACAATTTTTCACCTAATAAGAACTATAAGCCTTCAATTCATAAAAAATATTATGCAGCATACCTGATTTGAAAAGAGGATCTATTCATTGGCCATTTCTGTACCATTTATTGAGCATTTTGTTCTCTTTCTTTAACTTAGAGAAGGAGCTGTATGTGTTAGGGCCTACATGCATGTCATTTTCATTTGCTCTAAAGACTTTTCATCAATCAATTCCAGTGATATTTGATTTCTTTCAGCTCTCTAACCAAGTGCATAGAATGTCTTTCAGGGGAATGATGATCAGGGCACCTGTCACAAAGGCATTATTTATTCAACAAGAAAAGACTTATGTGAAAAGAACTATGTAGACCTGCAGTCTGAGAAGCAAAGAAGAAAATTTTTATTTGTAACGACAGCATAGTTTTGCTTCTCTCATTACTCTCCCTATGATGGCTGTGCAAGCCAGAGCAATCCAACAGTGAATATAAGCTAACTCATGAGGAAATATTAATTTCTATAAAATTATATAGCTAATTTGTTAATTTGTTCTTTTGTTCTGTTTCTCTTTTCTTTCTCTTCAGATTTAGTGCAGATTTCAAAACAAAAATTTTAATTTGAAGAGGTCAGTTAGTAAACCCACTTTTCTCACACAGAGTAGATTCCTTTTCTGTCTCTTGCTCTGATGCACAAACAGATCCACATAGTTTGATGAGGGCTTTTTTTTGGTGTTTTGTTTTTTCCATGGGATGATGATTCAAATATTTAAAACAATTTTGCCTGGACAAACATGCAGACATTTTCAGTTGTATATGTTGAAGAGAATTCTTCTTCAGTTTTTACTACGAAGACCACTTGGATCTGCTGGTATTATGGTAAATACAAATTCACCATGATGGAACCAGTAGTCAACTGTCCCTAAAGACTGTAGACATCAGGACGTTCTGATACGAGTGTGGGAGATGGGGTAAATAAACTTATGAGGGCAGATTCCTCCACATACTAGTCAGTTTATAAATATGGTGTAGATAGGGAAAAAAGGTGGTTTTGGAGTCAGAATGCCATGACCAATCTATTATGCACTGAGCCAATTTTTCCTAAGGATAACCTGCAGGTTACTGGTGGTCCACAAATCATCTGTATGACCGTGGTTCTTTTAAAATATATTTGTTTAGAAATTTGATAATGAGGGTATATAATGTTGCAGGAGAAAAGGTGAAATTGACTATGGTTCATGGCCCATTCAGAGACTCACTGCATTGCATTGCATCTCATTAATTCACAGTGTGTTTTGTACAGGTGTTCAAATGGGAAACCACCTTTTACCAAAATACTGATATCAGCACGCACGAAACTCATCTTCCAATGACAGAGTTTTTCTGAGCAGGTATTAGAAGCCTGCATTTGCAGAGGTGGTGATAGTAAGCTCAGTGCCCTTTGGAAACATTATGTAGGAAAACTTGGTTTCCCACCATTGGACAAAACCCTCTCTGGAGTTCAGCATATCCCACCTGTTCGTGGGATAATTTCAGCTGCCAGTTTAAAGTGCAGAGGTCTTCCTTAGGTCTGTCTTGTATCTGCCAGTTATGCAGAGATATGTCAGTGGGTTTCTATGGTACTCAGATGTTTATCTTTAGAAAAATTGAAGTCCATGGTTGCAGTGAAAATCATTTGAGTAGTTTGTAATATAAAAGTACACAGGAAGATTTATGACCTAAATTGGCAATTGCCTAAATTTCTTGCCTAGATTGGATTGCTGACCATCATATCCATTAATAATTTTTTTCAGAGATGGAAAATTATTATCTGTTGATTTACCTAAACTATTCTTTTACACCTCTGGTAGTACCAGAAGTATTGGGTTGGCAGAACGGAAGTATAACTATATACCTTTCCTTTAGGACTCTTCTTATTAGCAGGATACATGAAGATCCCACCATACATCAATGTACGGTGAACATCAGCTACCATGGAGCCCACATACCTGGCACCATATGGGGAACTGCCATCCTGAAAAACATACAGTAAAACATTATATTTACCAGGCTAGACAGCTAGTAGCATGGCAAAATGTAATTTTCTTTTTATAGAACATAAAGAAAAACTGCTTAAATCAGTGGCTGCTTATGGATACTGCGAATACAAAAACCAGCCTGAAGTGTAGCCTTTTGCAAGATGTAGTGGTCATCTACAGGGTTCTCAAATAAGTGTTTTGAAAAGCTGTATTCACAGTGTGCAAACTGGGGTGTCTGTAATTTGAGCACACAACTTAGAATCAACCCCCAGACTATGAAAAAAAAAGGGAGTGAAAACTTCTTCACATTAACAGCACAAGGTACATATTTGATTTTTGATTCTTCGCTGGTTCCTAAGCCAGAGCATGAAGAGGGATGCCACTTTTTACTACATGTCTAGACGATTCCCAGAGGACTCCAGCTTTTACCTTCTAGCTTATTTGATAATGGTGAAATTGGTCATAGCATTCATTCTACAGTTTAGCTTGAGAAATAGCAATTTATTCATGTAGTTTTCCTTGCTCTTAGCTCAGATATTGATGTTGTTGAAGGAGAGGTCACTCTAGCAAGAGCTATCAGGGAAGCATTCATGTCAGTCTCAGGTTTGCTGGTCATAAGAATGATAAGGTAGGAGATGTACAAGACAAGCAAGGTGTCTTGAACAAATAGAAGCACATACAGTAGACCAAATGTACATTTAATACACATGTATATTTATGTACTGCAATGCTAAAAGTTTGAAAAGATATCTGCATGGGATTTTTTGTCTGGATCAGTTTTCTAATAAAAGATCTTAGTGCTTTCTAGAAAGTTCAGTCTGTGCTGATACTGGGTCCAGAGAAGCACTTGTTCAGCAATGCCAGCTCCAAGACCTTCAGATATCATGTTAGTCACACTTCCCCCAAAAAATCACAAGGTTAGCTGGTAGAAAAAACACTTTGGAGGAAAACACACAAATAGAAAAAAATATTGTTCTATTTTAAAATCACTTTTCCAAATTGTTCTATGCAACTGTGAAGTTTTGATAATTACTCTCTTTTAAAATGGGAAGAGATTCTCATGAAATCACACATTATAATGCAACAGAACACTAGGAAGTTGAGTCTTAAGATGCTTAATCATATAACTCAGGTATTTCATATAGTTGATAGTAAAACTGGAAGACAAACCTCTTCCAGCCTATGTAATAACATAGGAGAATATAAGGAGAACTATAAAAAAATCAGAAGAAAACAATACAAACTGTGGAAGACGCGATGGATAAGACACAGCCTGGAACTTTTATACTGAGTTTTGTTTAAAACTGGTCCTGTTACTTTAAGGCACAAATGACCAGTACTTTTAAGTGTTTGCTCCCTTGTTTTTCATAGCTTACACTCAAATAATTGCATATTTAGACTTCAAATGATAGCTTCTCCATCACACTGTTTGCATTTGTGACATTACAATTGTGAAAATTTTACATCAGAAGAAAACAACAGCTTACAACATATTAAAGAGAGATCTAAGCAAGTTTGCCATTAAAGTCTGGGAAAGATGTGATTACAGTCTCAAAATACCTTTAAAAATACTATCAAAAGAAGAACTCTCTTTTATAGTTTCAAAAGATAATGAACGAAGTCTTAAAAAAAGTTTGTTTAACATTAAGAAGAGTCATAACATATCAACAATAAGCAGCCCCTGAAACAGATTGCTAAGGATTGCTTCTATGACATTATCAAATAAGGAGTCTGCAACTCACAGTTATAAAATTTACTGAGCATGAGCTGCACAGCTGTTCCACCTGCGAACAAATCATCAGACATGTTTGGAATATACCGGATTTCCTATTCACGTGCAGATTAATTACACAATTTAAGCGTGAACATGGGCAGTATTGTGTGAAAGACCCTTTGTGGGCCCCCTTCCAACTCAGGACATTCTAAGTTAATGCAATACCGCTGACAATTTTAGTTGCTTCTTACCCTGACAGAAACACACTTTCTTAAAACACACTACTGAGACTGTGCTGAGAAAAAGATACAAGACAAATTCCTCCATTCTGTTAAGGTTATTGCTTGACCCACAGACTGAAATAAAATTTTTTACTTCTCTTGGCTTCTAGTGGCCAGAGGAATATAGGATGAGTGATCTGTCTGAATAAGAAGGTGTTGTCCCATGCCCCACCCGTCAATTCCTCCTCAAGTCCCATGCAGGGTTGTGACGCCACCCAGATTGCTGCAATGACCTTCTAGGCAGTATGTGGAATCTAGCCCTAAGTGCCCAGTTGCACACGACTGAACTGCATATTTGTATAAAGCTAGAAAACAACCATACGCTCTAACTTGGCTAGCACAGTATCAGAGCTTTGTTGAAAAATCTAGTTCTTCAGTACATTTTTGTTCACACATGGATGAACAAGCTATGATTTTATTTACTGAAATATAAGTCACAAAAGATGTCAGGACACCAAAAAAAATTAGATAAATACCCAAAATTAATTTGATGGCATGAAAGAGTTAAATGGGTCTGAACTCAGGGAGGCCTTCAAATCCTTTCCCATCAGCCAAGACTGCATGGAATGCAGTGCTTGCCAGTGCACAGTACAATGGGTACAATGCTAATATTTTCTTACCTCAGGGAATTTCTTCTTTTGTAAATATTCTGTCATTGCAGGATCAAAATACTTTGCATAACCTTCATTGAGACTGTATACCTTCCCCTTCTTCTTGATTTTAACATCTCTGTCCACTAAAATAAATTCACCAAGGCCCTGCAGGACAGGATAGATGAGGTATTAGCAAGCAGCAGAAAATTTTGCTGACTTTCTGTAACAGTTGTCACACTGGATGAGACAGAAATGCTAGAATAGCTTCTTCCTTCCAGCACCAGTCTGGTGTATAATCCCACAGTATTTCAAAAAGAGCAGAAAGCAAAACATCTGCATTAAGTTAATGAAAACTTGTCCCATTAGTACTACAAACAAAAAGCAAACTGACTGCAATAGTTAGCATATCAAAGAAACACCAGTCAGCTCTGAGAGTGGATGGATCATGAATCTCTGTCTACAATTCATAAGGCTGCAAATTAAGAAATTATACTGTCTTGTGATTTTTTAACTCTTCTTGCCTGTCTTGTCTAAATATCCTGATGTGAATGTGGTCAGCTACCTCCAGGTGTTGCTGTCTGCAGTTTGAGTTCAACATCCATGTTCTCTTTCTCTGTCTCTTACCAGAACAGTTCAACTCCCAGTTCTTTCCACTTTGAATGAGACTATTTATGAAGGTTAAAAGAAGTTTTGATAATAATGCATCCTTTTATATAAAAAAAACCCAAACCCCAACCCTCCTACATTATTGTCCACATCTAATGCTGGTTTTACAAATGAATGATCTTCCTGTACTCCCACAGTAATACTCGTTTGGTTCCTGGGCTGGGCACCAGGGAGCGGCACGTGTCCAACTGCATAGGCATGGTTGTGCTTTTGCAAATTTTGGGACATGCAGCTTAGGTGACAGCAATAAAACTAAACTGCATTCAAGAAATCAAACATCACTGTACATGAACTATATAAAAAAAATGGCCCTTGCCTCAGGCTAAATAGTGAACAGACTGATGTTTTTCATCAGACAGAAAAATCAAGAAAAAGATACGAGTGGACTACTTTAAGTAGAGGCAAAGGCACTCTTCAGATTAAATTTTCTTAAGTGTTGTTTTGAATGAACAGGGTTTCAAATGCTTAACTAAGAATTTATTTGCCCTCTATTGAGCAGAAAAAAAACAAACAGGTATTGCAACCAACATGGTCATTCACGTATTATTAAATAAATACTTGTAAAGAGGAGATGGGATGCATGAAAAAAGAATTGCACAGAGCGTGTAGATTACAGAGACAAGGACTAAAAAAAATAAGTAAAGCTAAGCACAGAAAACTCTAAAAGATAGTGGCAATGTGATTAACACCATGACTGTACCGGATCAAGCATGAAGCAGTCCACTCCTTGCCCTGTGGAGAGGGCAACCAGTGTAGCACTACCATACAGGGCATAGCCTGCAGCAACAATATTCCGTCCGGGCTGTAAAGCATCTTTTTCAGAGGGCTCATCATCTGTTTCCTGAGGAAAATACCATTGCACTGAAGGTTAAATTCTGATGATGAACACTAAAAACAATATTTCAACAATAATATGACAGATTTCCTTTTTGTGTCTATGCAGACCTTTGAAACAACAAAATAGAGATTGTTCCCACTAGTTCAGAACAAGTTTAATACAAGTACATGTGCATGCTGTGACAGGACGTTTAGAGTTTGTTATTTTATACATGTCACACAATCAATACGTCACCTGCAAGAAAGTTGACACCTTAGCATTACAGCCCAGGCTAATAATTCAAGATCATCAGAAATCTGAGACCAAACAGAGGTACTAATTTTCTCTAAATATAACATAAGCTATCATACTGATGCGCCTCAGAGGGAATTACTGAGAGATACATGTTGTAATTAACATTACAGACAAAATGTTTCAAATAATACAGAATAAAAAGGTAGATGGTGCAACATGATGAAACAAAGCTTGTGTACTCGTCTCTGCTAGTGAAGAGATAGTTAACTGAAGGGATATAAATGTTCATATTGTATATGAAATAGCAAATGTATTTGATGATGTGAAGTGTGCATGTGTGGAGATATGCATATATAACTCAATGTAGAACATACATGGTATTTTACTTCACACTTTTATTCAATTTCCAACACTCACATTTAGATTTGGCTCTTTGGTTATCACTGAACACCAGTAGCCCAAGCAGACCTGGTGCAAGTATTTCCAGCCAGCCTTAGGGTTGTGCCTCAGCTACAGCTTAAAAGAGTTTGTCTGGTAGGGTAAGGAGAACAGCCAAGAGTACTTGAGAAGGCTGGTTTCAGCCTTCACCTCCTGCAACCACAAAATGGGTATAATTCATATTAATATTTACTTAAAACCTTGCCAGTTGTGGTGGGTTTGCTGTGTGTTTTTTGATGGTGGTCCATGAGGAATTAAAATGAAAATCTCTCCCCTTTCTTCAGGCCCTGGTTTAGTATTTTATTATCCCAAACTCAGATAGTTTCTCAGTGATTGCATGGGCTTAATTAGATTGAGTAGCAGCTCAATAGAAATGGCAAAAAACAGGTATTATCACCACACCCTGACACTCCCACAACTGAGAGGCCCTCAGTGGCAGCAACTATCAAGGACTTATCCCTTGCTGATTCAGCAAGGCTTCTCCCTCAGCCCCACTTTTTGATGTTTCTCATCTTTTTAACACCACCATCCATGTTTCTGAAAGCAAAAGCCAGGTGGAAAATTAAATAAACCTGAGATGGCATTTATTTCCTAGTGGCTTTCTCTAAGAAACTGATGCAGTGCTTTTCTGACAGGAGGGAATGGTACCTTCCACCATGGTGGATGTTCTGGATTGGGAGCAGCCAGAGAACTGGTTTCACCTCTAAAGGTATTGGTCCAGTCTGACCTTTGTATAAAAATGCTTATTATCTTTTTTTTTTTTCCCCTAAAGCGAGCCAAAAGTTTCACTTTTGAAGAGCGTGCCTTTGGAAATGAAGGTAAGGCAAGACATGGTAGAAAATCAGTCACGCACTCCTCTGAGAATTGGCAGGGGTCAAATATCAGATAGGTGCTAAGGTTCATCCTTTGGAATTACAATTGTTCTAGCTTTTCCAAAATGTTGTTCATGAACCTTAAATGGCCTGAGATTATGATTTCTATCTTAAGTGATTCTTATCCACCAGGATAAATATATCGCTTTTTTACTTTTCACACTACCCTTTAGTAACAATCAATAAAGCACTTATTTTTATTTAATAATTTCAAAGCTTTTGAATTTACTAGTGTTTGAAGGTAATCGTGTTGCTATGATATTGTGTTGTCTGAGATGAAGGCATATTAATTAAGATGTACTTTGTAATTAGCATTCTAATGGAAAGTGTTATGCAAGTGAAAGCCAGGAAATTCAACATTGTTTTTAACTTTCCAGGGAAAACTGAAAATTTTCTTGTAGAATTGTTCTTATAATTGACAAATTGCTTCATCCTAACAGCAGCATTTTCATTTGCATATGAACTATTTGTACAAAGCAATGTAATTTCCTTTTTAGGAAGCCCTGAAAAGTATCCACCCACATGGAAACCAGTAACTTAGAAACTATTTACAACAAGTATGTTAACATGTAATACAATTGTGAAAGGATCAGAAAATCATTGGAAATCTTGAGAATTTGGAAATTTGACAAATGCTCCTATTTTGAAGCAGAATCTTGGGGAAGACTGGGCAGTCCATAGTCTTTACACATATTATAGGTGAGTTCAAGGTGACAGAGAAATTTAATCTGTATTTCAACCTTCTAAGCTGTATTAATCACTGGAGACTTGCCTTTGCAGTTACTTGGAGTAAGTTAACACAATATTTCTAAAGAGAAAAACAGTATTTAGTATTTGTAAAATGGTTCTTACCACCCTTAAGAATAGTGGACAATGCAGCTATTGCCTACTGTAAATGTAGGGAGCTGCTACTGTCATTTGGGTTATCTCGAGAGATAAATGAAAAGAGTGGGGGCCCCTTTGCTTACCAAAAGAGCATGTTTCATGGATTGCATCCACACAGATAAGCTTTCTTCCCTGCAAAAAGCAAGATACTGGGTGATACTGTAGGTAGTCCATAGACTGCTCTTTCCACAAGCCATACCTAGACATCCTCTTAGTGTTGTCTGACCTGTGTTGCATCTGTGGTGTGGGTTTGCACTAACCATTAACAGTGTGGACAGCCATATGCCAGGGCCTGCCATATGCCAGAACCTGGCTTGTGCCACTACCCTCTTGTCCCTGTTTGATTCCCTAGTAGATGCATATTCTCAACAGTAATGACTAGTGTATTGCCTAAAAGAAAGGTAAAAACCAAGGACTAGCCAGTTGCAAATTACGAGTTAGTGGATGAGACAGACTTTAAAAACATATCTTCACTTGTTTGAAGTGTAGCATTGAAGTCTGCAAAGACTTCTTTGAAGTCACAAGTATTGTAAAATGTTATTTCACAATAGTAATGGCTGAGGGTCTCCCATAGTCATATGACCATGAGCTCAGCCTTTGGGAAAAACACCAACTGCTGGGAGATTAGCAAACAAATCACAAGACTTGGCATGACTGTAACTATTAACATTTGTAATTGGCTGCACAGCTGATGTTCTGTGCAGCCCCATGGGAGCAAACGTGCTGGCAGGGCCCTGATGAATGCAGGTGTTTGCTTGCTTCAGGCTCCATCACTACCATGCTTATAAATTCCCATCCGTAACAGACTTAGCAGCTCATGCTGGGAGGTCACCACACTGCTGACCATGATATGGTCCAGAGCCGCCAGCCCTCCCCAGTCAGTGTCCAGGAGGACAAATACTGTGATTCATCAGCACCAAAACAGCGAGTCAAGGATCACTGAAGCTAACCAGATGTCATGGTGGTTTTAAGCGCCAGTGTGATTGGAGGAGCGAAGTGCTGCCACCTAACATTTTTGTGGGGTTGGGTGTCCCCTTCCTGGGAATTCAGGCAGCATTTTAGCACTCACAAATCTCAAGTGTTACCTTTTCCACTGTTTCTAAGGCTCCGTTTTTGCCAGAGACATATAAAGGACCTAGGAAAGAAACTAGGCAAGACATTTTGCTTTCACCAAGTGCATCGTGCCATGTGTGCTTCATCCATCCTCTTACCTTTTTGTAGATAGCAAATATAGTTCCTACTGGTGCCAAGCAGTCTATATTGGATGAACCATCAAGGGGGTCAAAGCAAACCACATATTTGCCCTAAGACAGAAGTGGCAAGGAAAGCATTAAATGATGTGTTGTTTTGCATTATTAATTTCTTTTACTTTACAAATCTCATGTCTTTATGGTTGCATTTAGTCCTGATACAGCTCATCAGAGAACTCTGCACTGCTGACCCAGCTGGTTCCACAGTACAATACTGACTCCCTGAGGGCATGCCAAAGAAATAGGAGAAGACATGTTTCTGCTCAGACAGCACAAAATCAGATCATAGAAAGGAGCAATCCTCTGCTGCCGAGCAGTGCAAGAAACCGTTTGAAAGCAAAAGGACTGACTCGTTCTGGAAGTATGTAACTTCCTCGAGTAAATATGTTTTGTTTTGTTACTTTTAGTTCCAAATGAAAGGATTTCCCTGTGTTGTGAAGTTTGAGGGAAAGAAGGCAGAAAGAAAAAGTCTTCGGGAAAGGGTAGGTTACATCAGCATGAGCAGTATCCTGCTGCAATAGAATCCCCTCCTGGGGGAAGCCTGACAAAGCAGTCAAGTGTTTCCTTCGGACATGTAACATAAAACTCAGTTCTGCCAGCCTGTCATCTGATTTTATCTTGCCTAAGTACTAATGTAATCCAAAACCAGGTCAGACATTGTAATGGTACACTTACACCTGGAATGTGGGATTTGTTAACAAGCTCAAAATAAGTTATTCTCCCTCCTTTGCAAAACTTTAATAATAATTTTATCCTCCACATGTCTTTTAGTTGTTGAAACCATGCCATCCACCACAGTTATTAATCAAAACAACACAGAAATTATGCAAATTTTCTGAATTCCCCTGGGAAGAGTTGGGTTTGGGGCCAAGCCCAGGTTTCATACTTGAAGCAAGACTGCCACCTGCTGCTGCCTGAGCCCATAACCCCCCTGAACGTCGGATTGCACAGACCTGCTTGTCTTTCGGGGTGAGGATGGCCTCTTTGTTCTCCTCTGTGACGAGGACGCATGTGCTGTAGGAGGACTGCAGCATATTAATCACCAAGGAGTTGGATAATACATCCAGCTTCTTCACCTCATCACCGGTTACGTTTACAGTGCCAGCTATACCAAACCTACAGAATAGTAAAAATGTCAAGAAACCTGAGGGAGGCCAACATTACGGGTTTTTAGGAAAAAACCAAAACAAGTCAGGGTGGCTTCTTCTCCTCATCTTCCCACACCTTTACCTAATCCGTGGATTAAACTACTAAGACGCATTATAAGACTGTTGCTGCTGCTAGAAAATAAAGCATGCATTAGAAAGAGAAAGGGCGATGGTATCATTTTGGGGCTTTACCCGGGTCCTTTTGCTTCTGCTTGGATGTTCTCCAGGCCATAAGCAGAGCATACAGCCCAACAAGTAGGGGCCAGGCTTCCCTAGCAGCCCCACAAAGCAGTCAGCACCAGCTTTGAGGAAGAAGAAGGGGTTGTTGGCATCTGCATTATTTTCTGCTGCTGGCTGCTCAGAGCTCTGTCTCCTTTAATCCACATTCACTCAGTCCCCAGCCAGCCCAAAATTAGAAACTTTAAAGACATCCCCAGGTAATTTGCCATACAGAACTGTATCTCAGGATCAAGGTCTTTTACATTTTAGCAATGTGCATATTTTAGCAATGTGGTAATGACATAGAAAACAGTATATATGTTTCTGAGATTTCCAATTGATGAAGCACTGCTTAGACCTAATGTGCATAATCTGGTCATCTTAGAAATACAAAAACCATGCAGGGAATAGACAGAGCTTTTTTATTCATTGGTGGGGGGGGGGGGGGGAGAAAAAGAGGGAGGGAGAAAGGGACAAGTGATTAGTCCCTAGGATGATGCTGGTGAGTGGCAGGCCTTAGCTGGGACCAGGGTAGGTGTTTTGTCTTACTCAAAGCTGCTTGAGCTTTTCAGAAGTATTCCACGTTTTGAATACTTCTCTACACTCTATTTTTGAGTGCCAAATTTAGGGTACTAGAAAGGACCATGATTGCCAGGGAGTACTAAGTACATATTCTCCAGTCTGTGTGTTTTCAGGTACAATTTCAGCTCAGATCTATGACTTTTGAATTGAAAATTTGTTAAAAATTCATGTTGAACTCTATCACATTAAAGAAGACACATCACAGGAGGGGCTAGAAAAAACAGATCTCTTTAACTGCACAAATGCAGATGGATGCAAGTCAGTTACCTATGGTGAAAGTTTGCCAAGGGAATTTCTGAAATTTCGTAGTTAGCTTCAGTAATTTAAACTGCAAGTTATTTGTTTGTGGTTTGGATACTTTAGATATTTCTGATTCAACATCTGAAGCTTTTGTTTATAGAAAGAAACATTTGCTTCTCAACATAACGGATGGGTTTTTTTCTGGCTGGAAGAAGGCTATGTGGCTATTCTACCCCTAGTCTACCAAATAGTTTCTCTGTACTTACTAAATACTTCAGACATTGCCTACTGAAAGATAGAAATGACATAAAAGCAACTGTTCTTCTAAGACAGGGAGGTAAAACAGTTGCAACTAGCAAGGACTAAAGCACAGTATAACAGTAAGGGTATAGGAGCCTAATGCTGCTGTTAATTCTGAGTATGTCTCATGTCCTCTCTACTTGTTATGATCTATGCCTGTAAAGTCAGGGTGATAGTGCTGACATTGAATTAATGAATTGCAAAGAGCATTGAGGACTGTATAATCAACAGGAGCACAAAAAAGAAAAAAACCCGAGTGTCAGGCATTTTGATGTTTCCAGGGGAAGGAAAAAAAAAAAACAACCAACCCAGAACAAATTACAAATATTGACTTTCTTTTACAAATATGTTTCTTGTTTCTTTCATGCATGCATGTATATGCACATACTCAGGCATGCCAAGAAACATATCTTTCAATACATATCAAAACCTTTCTATTTTAAACACATAACTTTATCAGGACATTCCATGTCTCTGAGGAGCTTCAGATAGATAACCATTAAAAAACTCAGACTGATGTCTATTTCACCTGGCTGTGAGGAACAGCTCAGAACATTCCAGGCTTTGCTAAGGCAGTTCTTTATTCCATTCGCTACAGAACTAGATGACAAGTGGTTACATTTGTTTTTCATATAGGGTCCGTTAAGACTCCCTGCCTGTAACCCTGATTGAGGGATATTGCTTGAGGAAGGAAGGAGAAATGCATGGCAGCAGAGGGCGTTTCTCACAGGGTTATTGCTTTAGACCATTACATATACGGCAGACAGTCAGAAAATCAGCTAAGATATAAGAGATAAGACAAGTTCTAATTTGCACAGTTCAGCAGAGGACTTGGATCCTAGCAGAAAATATCACAGTGAGATATTCTACATTAAAAATATCATGGTCTGATTTTCAGCAAATTCACAGGAGATTTAAAAACAGTTCAATATCAACAAGTACAAGAGATAGCAAGGTGAGCAGTACATTGAAGTTCTGACTTCCATTTTTAGAGTAAAGTATGACAGAACAGCAGTTAGTTTAAATGTCTATCTTGTGCCCAATATTAAAAAGCTTCAGAGAGATCTCCTGCTTCCCACTCTTGATAATCCAGGCTCTGACCTCACTCAGCTTAAAAAAAAGACACTTCCAAAGTATTTGTGAATTGCTGCCCACTCCCCAGCCTTGTTGTGCAAGTAGCTGTCTCTCTATCTCCTCTTCCTCCCTGTATCTCAAGGTAGGACTCACATGTGGGCAAGGCCTGCCTTTCTGACAGCAGAGGAGATGGCCTTTATGGCAGTCAGCATGGAGTTGAGCAGTTGTGTCAGCTCTCCTGTTGCTCCTTTTACACGGCGTCCCTTCTCCATAACAAATCGCGTGAGAGTCAGCATATCCGTTTCGAAAGGGGTTTTGTCGGTCATTTTCACCAGGTAGCAGGTTCCTATCTGCTCAGCCAGACAAGATGCTCTTTTGCTGTGTTGAGATCCTGGGGAGCTGTTTTATTTTGAGGCAAAGCTCTTGGCTGCATTGCTGGTCAGAATCTATTAAGATGTTTCTGAGACCATGTGATTGAGTGCTCAGAATAACAGCACCCCAGGCAGGCTCCATGGCTCCACTGAGATGCAGAAAAGGAGCCTGAGATGGGACTACAGCTGAGCAGCCACTGCTTGCATGGTCTCCCCACACACTGAAAGTAGCTATGTGCAGATCTAGATACATATTCTCGTTTTATGTTAGACTGATTATAATGCAAAACTCTTGCTGGCTGATTAGCTGGAAATGGCTTTCCTGTAGATGCTGCTAAGCAATGGGCTCAGCATAACCAAGGCAATGTGCACAATTTGCAAGGCATCAGAAATGAGGGCAGTGAAGCTCCCTTACCATAATCCCTGCTTCTTCACCCTCTTTTGGCTGCTAACAAAAACGAAAGGAGTTTGAAGGGGTATTGCATATCCCAGGAGAATCAATGGGAAGTTCAGGATGCATCTAGGCATGCATTTATTAAAGACAGTTCACATTTCTAGTTGGTCTGCTGCAATCCCTTTTTAACGATTTCATTCCTAATTTGGTCTGCTCGTAATTATATTATAGAGTTTGGAAGAACAAGAATTATTGGTGAGTTGTGGCTCAATCAGTTACAAAGTAATTATGTCATCAATAATTTACAAATTAGACTTCTCTGATAAAAACATGTCAGTGCCATAACTCACAAAATGAAATTTTATGTTGGCTTTCATGTTGTAGTGCACCATGTAAATATAGGTATGTCCAAATTTGCAATTATGCTGCCAGTAACTCCTCACAAGCAATATACTTGGAGCACATGAAGCTAATGTGAAGTTAGATAGAAATGTCAGTGAATTAGATACATGCTATCTGGAATGCTGGAATTATGGGATTTAATGACAGCACTGTCTTCCCATTCAGATAAGGCAGTAAGAGCAACTATATGCTGTAGCCTTCATTTTACCTACTAGCAGCACTCTTATTTTTTAGCAGAAGATCTGGAAAGCCATAAGGCAAACCAAGAAATTCTGGAATTACAGATGAAAAGTTTGATTTTCCTCGTTATCATTCCTTTAACCCAAATTACTGCACTAAAATCATGCAGGAAAAAAAGCAGAAACAAAATTCAATAACAAAACATATAACTAATTTTTTTTTTGTCAATAGGAACTGCAGGTGAAGGCAAAGAGTCTTTTGATTTCCTTTTGCATTCCTTTTTTAATCTTTAGTACTTCTTTGAATTTTTCTAAAACTGTCTGTTCACCTATTAACAATACATTACTTGTAAAGTTTCAAAGGGATTTGAATGCTAAGGTTTTCTACTTTAAAATTAGCCTCAAATAAAGGTTTTAGAGATTGACAGCACTGAACACTAGCCACAAGGAGGAAGACACAGTTCAGTGCTCCTTCCTGTATGGTTAGCTTTGGGGATGTTTTTTCAATCCTGTTTTAAGATGGAGGAAGGGCTGGTGAGCAGAGCTGCTCAGGCAAAGCAACAGGCAGGTTTTGCACTACATCTCTAAGGCAATGGTGGAAGAAGAAAGCAATCTTGAAGATTTCTCTTTTCTACCATTGTGATCTAGTTAAAAGTATATGACACCACCCACATCACAGGACAAATATTCCAGAGCAATTTTGCCTTGTTAGGAGACTTTCTTTGAACAGATTTTACAAAAAACCCTATATTTAGGGAGCTCTGGGATAGCACATGGTGCGATTAATAAAAGAAAGAGACAGGATTCACATTATACATGCAAAGAGATTTGCTACCTAATGTAAACCTATTACATTCTGCACATTAATTTTATTATCATGGCAGCTGTCAGCCTGACCAGTACTCCTAATGAGTACTAAAATGCTTTTAATGCAATATCTCTCTTCTGTGTAGCTAGAATATCATAAGCATACCAAAACAAACTAGTAAATAAGAAATGGGGGGGGAAGTGTTGGCCTTTGGCTTCTAACATTTATTAAAACATCACATGTAGATCTTCTGTTGATTCCAAGTGATCTTTTACATCAGTCAAAAAGACAAAGTTCAGATTATCTTCTAACAGAAGGTTTGTTTTAGAGTTAGTGGTTCAAAGGGTGTTTTTCTCAGAGCTAGTCAGTCTGCTATTTGCCTTTTTTTTTTTAACTGAAAATTCCCCAAATGTTTTTTACTGGATTTTTAAAGTATGTATAAAGGACAATGCTTTGAGCTGCTCTCAAATAACACTCCTTCAGTAACAAATTAACCTATTTACACTAATATGTAAAGGACACAGCCTCTACAACTAAGCTTTCCTTACATATCACAGTGTACAAAGATAAATGAAAGAATAAAACATGGATAAAAGCACATGATCAGATTGCATGAAAACTTCATCCTGTTTTGATAAATACTGTGATCCTACTGAATGATAAAAACCTGAACGATTATACTCAATGATTAAGCTATATAAATAATTACCATTTTGGGGAGGGAGGAGAAATCATATTGTTTCAAAAACATGTGATGAGTCCCTATAAGCCTGAAAACCCCTCAGTGCAATGGATTGGAACAGCATAGAAAGGTTAAAAAAATAAAAACCTCAATTTGACAGATCTCTGGGAGATTTGCCCTCTAATACAAATATTACATGAAAGCTCTTGGGGATGATTCACACTTCCACTTGTGTATAGGCCAGTCCTGTGTCTTAAAGGTGACACCTTTTCTAACAGATACGAAATGTTAGTCACTTGGATGGCACCAGCTGAAATTGGAGCCATTGACCTTTCACCAAAGGCCACAGTGCAGCCTCTGAGCAGGGCAGTAGGAAGTACTACCATAGGGGCTGGTAGTGGACACTGTGGCAAACTGACCCTCCTGCCCTGCATTGATGGTCAGGGAGAGCTCTAGGAGGGGGGATGTGGAAGGAGATTACTGAATAGTTCTCCCCACTGGTGGCCAGGGATATTGTTCACATGTGGGCTTAAATATTACTGATTGGAAGAAAACCATCTCACAATGTGAAAAATGCTAACTATAAACAGTCAGCCTGAAGACAAAACCAAAACACTGGGAACTGACCTAGCAAACATGGGCAGTATTAACTTTCCTCCTATAACCTTTACCTCCTGCCAGTACAGTGTATTAAAAATAAATATATGCAGTCCAGGGATTCTTGTCAAGCTTGAGGGCAGAATACAGACAAGGAATTACTGTAATTAGACAAAAATGGCTGCTGTGGATACTATCTGCCAAGTCATGCTAACACACTGTTGAGGCACTGTAGTTCAAACTGACTATGACCAGCACTGTCACAGTCCTTTAAGGGCTCAGGTCCCTGAAAGCTCTGTCTTCACAAGCAAAACCTCATCAGAAACATTTTCTGCAGAAACTAGGCCATTCAGTCCCCGTCAGAAACATCTTGTCCCTTGTCAATTTGGAGATGCATTTATTCAACTGTCTAAGGTTTGACAATATGCTTCCAAATGCCTCAAGTGACCTGTCAGAACAAGGGTCCCAGGTTTTTTTCTGTGTGACCCCTCACAGAGCATGCCTTTGGCACCATAGACTCCAGGTTCCCCCACACTCCCTTCTTGTTTTACAAGAAGAACCAGGCTCAGTCAGGCTATCTGCACTGATGTATGCAAGATCTTCAAGCAGGCAGGTTCACAGCTCATGGCACGCATAGCCAAGCTTCCCAGACCATGGATTGAGTCAGTGTTTGCTGCCAGTCTACCCACAGAAACCTCCACATGTCCCTTAGTTTGAGTTTGGCAAAGGTAAGAGGGCAGTGAGAAATATCAAAGATTTGCAGATTTCAATTAATTCAAAAAGCTGGTGAGTCACAGCCATAAACTGTAGACAGACAGGTGGACAGGCATCTGGCTTCCAAGCACTAGAGTTCTGTTCCCAGCAGCATGCTCTGAATCAGCACATTGAATGTCAGTACATTTTGTGGTGATTTCGAACCTTCCCGCTGCTTTCACGGCAGAATCCTTTTCCATTCCTTTGGGTAATCCACAATCCCAAAATAATACAAAGAACAGCTGGTGGGGGTTGCTAGCAACACATGGGTTCATGTTTTCATCAAGTAAGCAGGTTAATTTCTGGCAAAGATAGCCAGATGACCACAGCAGATTCTGTCTATGTACAAGCTGTCTACACATACTCCTTATCCAATTAACCTCCCCCCACCCCCCCAACATGTCATTTTCCATCCTTGTGTAACTGGATGTGATAGAGTGACAACTGTCAATATTAATAGTATGTGTCAGAATTAACATATACTAATGCACATGTTTCGCAAATCTTAATTCCTGGTCAGAGCAAACCAAGATTAAAGTACACTGAGCAACTTCTGGGACCTAGACATCAGCCCAGAAAAGGTCACTCACTGTAAGAGGTTGCTGAGTATTCCTCACAAGATTTTTAGAAGAGGACAGTCTCAAGAGGACAGTCAGATACACTGGCGATAGTCTGTAACTTGTCTGAGAAAGTGGAGTCTTTTCCCCCTAGTTATTGAATGCAACACAGTACTTCCTTGCAACACAGTGGCTCTCATGTAATCAGAAGTGACAAATGAAAAAGAAAACATACTTTTTCATCACTTTAACCTTTAATGCTTTATTTAATGCAATCTTTCAATGCCTTCCATTGCATAATGCAATTACACAAGATTTCACTTTAAAAAAATCTCATGAAAATATGGCTTATTTGCTCTTTTGCTATAGAGGTCAGACAGTTCAACTTCACAGTGCTGCAGTGTGTTCTTTGGTTGAGCTGTAAGACATTCATCCCCTCTGCACAGTGACTCCAGCAAGCTTTCTTTACTTAGCTGAATGCTTCTTGACTATTTCAAGGTACTCCTTTACATCATCAGGAGATCCCAAGACAACAGGCACTCTCTGGTGGATATCCTCAGGCACTATATCTAATACTGCTTGGTGTCCAGTTGTCGCTATTCCTCCAGCCTTCTCAATAACAAAAGCCATAGGATTGCATTCGTAGAGCAATCTCAGCTAGAAGACAAAAGTCAAATTGGCAGTAGTCAGTCCAGGCAACACTGAAAATCATGAAATGTAAATATATTTAGCATTTGATTTTAAATCAATCAGTGTTACAAGCATTCTTTATTTCATATAAACTTTGACTCAAGAATGAAACTGTGTCAATTTTTCTTTAAAAAAAAAACACAGCAAATGCTGGATTTGCCCAATTTGAGTTCTTTCTTCATAACTCATGTTTGCACTATGCTATTTACAGAGAGATAAAGTTTGCAAGTTCAACACAGTCCTTAACAAGGCAGCAGACCACACAGGACTGTGTGAAAAGAAAGGAAAACACTGGCCCTGAGTGTGCCACTAGGTTTCTCTAATGAATAACTGCATATTATCTGCAACCTGAAGCAATAATTTACGGACAATTACAAAACAGATGAAAGGTCTTTGCTGAATAAACAGTGCCCCTGTCAGCCTGTAAGCATGCGATTTTCCCTGACTGACCATCAGACTGACCTGCTGCAGAGGAAGCCAGGCACAGTTCCTCCAGATGAGGCCCTCTTACCAAGTACAAAATGCAGATGGTTTTCTCTTTGGCAGAGTTTCTCCTAATGGGCCAACTACATTTAGGCTTCTTACAAAATATCTTGTAACAGGAATCTCAGGGTTATATGGATTGTTTGCTTTGTAATGTTTTGCTTGATTGCAGCCAGCACATTTTCAGCTGAGATGGTACAGAGAAGCCTGTTCGAACAGTGCATCTCCTGGTATGTTCCATAATCCAGATATGTTTGCAGATAAAGAAAAGTCAGTGCAGTTGAAACAGGTTAGCAGTGGCCTTAAAATATGTGCCTGACAAGTGACAGTGTGCAAAGGGGGGCCATATCCACACACAAGAAATGTAAGCTACCAGTTACAAAACACAGGTTCTGCAATAAAAATATTGATCTTGATAGTGAAATGTCTACATAATGTAACAGGGTTTATTCAGGTTTACCTTTCCTTTGGGAGTTTTGGAGTTAGCAGGATACAGAAAGATTCCTCCATACACCAGTGTGCGATGCACATCAGCCACCATAGATCCTATGTACCTCCCACCATATGGTGAACTGCCATCCTACAAAAAGACATTTAAAGAAAAGTAACTTTTGAGCACACCAAGTTAACCTCTCCCCTTTAGCAGTCCTAACATCTAATGTCTCCATACGGTGCTTGATTGATAATATTCAAAGTAGTTTCGGAGAATATGTCAGTATCCTCTTCACTTTCTAAGAAAATCCAAGGAAAAGGACTGACAGAAGAATTCAGCATAGATGAGCAGTAATGTCAACAACAGAAAATGCATCTCAGCTCTCACTCTCTGAAAACGCTGCATTTACAGTAGCAAAAAAAAATCAAGTGCTAGGAATTGATGTTGGGGTTTTGTCTTTTATAGCAGAAAAAATATCAAAGAGCAAAAGATGTGATATTTCCTACTTTTTCCAACCATTTTTGCCAGCTTCTACAACTTTTTTTAAGAAAAAGTTAATAGTTGACTACCGGTATTATACTCCAGAGAGTAATTTAATTTCTAAATAAATTAAGCCTGGAAAAATACTAGATGAAAACATCAGTCTTTTTCCAAAGCAAGATCAGGAAGTTAGGAAGGGACACTACCACTTAACAGCAGGAAGTATCAATGTAATAACTCCAGTGATGACATATGTAAGGCATGAGAGCAGACATGCTTTTATGGGCACTCCTTGGAGCTTTGGGCCTCCTGACACCAGGAAGCTGCACAACCACAAAGCAGGCCTCAAAACTACACTAGATTTCCAAGTGAGAGGCACCCTTAGGACCCAGCTTGTGTTACCACAGAGCAATGACCCACTGCCATCTCTGCTCAGTTCTCCATCTACTCGGATGTTGCTGTGAGGAAGCAGCAATCTAATATGTCAATAAACTTTCTTCATCATCAGATGAGCCTTACTCTCTGCTTGATTACCAAATGCCCAGTTTTGCCCCCAGTACCGTTATTCGGGTCCCCTCCAGGAAGGAAGATTAAAAAAAAAAAAAGAAAGAAAGGAAAAAAGATGTAAAAAAGGTGCAGTGCAGTACTAAAAAATAGTGAAATATCTGGCCACATCAACTACTCCTGTCATTATCAGTCCTACATCAGGTTACATTATAAACAGATAGCAAAGGAAAACAAGTACTGAACAGTACATGAGAGAGTGATTGATCATAAAGTTGGAACTCATGAAAGTTGCTTGTCATCAGAAAATTTCTCTGAAACAGTATCTTTTACCTCAGGGAATTTTTTCTTTTTGAGATACTCTGTGACTGCAGGATCAAAATATTTAGCATAGCCTTCATTGAGACTGTAGATATTTCCCTTCTTTTTTATTTTCACATCCCTTTCCACCAGAATGAATTCTCCAATCGCCTAATGATAAGAAAGAAAAACTATTTGTTAACATTAATTGCTCATTTATTTACAAACCAAGGCAAAACCCAATAATACACATAATTTAATAAAAATCTACTACCACTGCCAATTTTAAAAAATAATTTGGTACCTACAAAAACATGGTATTTGCAATCCACATGCATAAAACACAGACAGAGCACGAATTCTGGGCTCATGCAAGCTTCTTCATTCTACCATTCCAAGCTATCTACTCCTTTTCTATGCCAAAAAATTTCTGCTGTCTGTAAATATGTTTAGCTGTCCACTCATTTGTTAGACTTATAGTAAATGTACAGTTCTGAGGAGTTTGGAAACTGAGAGTGCTTGTTGAACCAATGCATAAGCATCTTGAAATAGCTGTAGATATCAAAAAATTCCAGTTCATTTTAGCTTGGAAGCCTGTGGTCAAGAAAGCCAATCTCTATGACCAAGGGCTGGTCTGTTTAGCTTTCTCTATAGTAAATTTCTAAGTCAGTGCTAAGAGTAAACAAAATAACATGCATGCATGCTCAAAGTTAAATCTGTTACCTGAATACAGACACAAATACATGCATCTACTTAAGCTGCTACTAAACAAAGAGCATCAAGTTATATTTCCTGCAGCTTGACCTCTGTGGGTTATAAAAATTCAAGACCAGCAGGTGGCACAGCCTGACTGATTACAAACAAAAAAGGTCACTAAAGCAAGGTCACTTTCTGTTGTGATCAGCATAACTTTTATTTTAAAACTCATATAGTAAATGCATGCTAGAATGTCAAATGCACCTACACACATCACTTACTCTTTTACACATCATAGTGGAATCTGAAAACACAAGAAAAGGTTAAATATTTCTGCTCCTCTGGTTTATTAAGGTCCTAGTATTAAGGAAAAGACAAATAAGACTTAAAGGGCATTCTGCACTGCAGAAACCAGCTCATTTTCAGTATCACATGATTATACACGCTGTGTATTTGCCCCGCTGGCTTAGCTGTCTTCCTGTTGCTGAGTCACACATAGCAGTGCTGCAATGGGCCGGCACAACGTAAGTCTCTTGACATTACTGTTGATGGGTTATAAGTACAAGCACAAGCACAAGTACACTTATACTTCATTGCTTCATGTTAGCCTGAAAATTGCTCCTTTGTTTGATTTTGTTGGGGACAAAAACTTCTTATAGACAGTACCTTGTTACCTCTAATACAGAAACAAAGAAACAGATGACATTCTCACCGGATCCAGCATGAAGCAGTTGACACCTCCAGCAGAAGTGGCCAGTACCAGCATTGTGGCACTCCCATAGAGAGCATAACCAGCTGCCACAAGATTACGTCCAGGTTGTAAAGCATCTTTCCCAGAAGGTTCAGAAGGGGAGGCCTAGAATAAGAAGGAGCATAGTCCATTTTACTTCATTTCGATTGCTGATACATAACTAGACTACCTGTGATAGGAACCAGTCTTGTACTCCACATCTATACACGAGGTAGCACAAATGCTTCCATGAGCCAAAACTGAGATTCCTATTGGATGCACTAATACAACTTATATCGAGGATACAAACACATTGATAGAGAAATGCTCTTGTATAAGTCTAGCTGGAATGCAGGAAGCAGGAAAGGATTAAGGAGATAATAAAGAGCTGTGTACCTCCTTGTAGGTGATGATGAACACAGCTCAGAGGAAAACTCTGAGGCACAGTTGAAAAGCCAGAAATGAAACATGACTCACTGAGTTCAAAGCAGACAGAAAGCACTTGGGATTTCTTTGTTTCCTTTTGCTTCATACAAAAATGAAGCTGAAAAAATAGCTACTTTGGGATATATGACAACATACAAAAGATAATTGAAATGGACAATTGGGTGTGTTTTATCTGACTTAATTTTTACCCCGTGTTGTGACCTGTTAGGTCTGGTATTTCAAGCTCCTCCAGACAAGGTTCTGCCTTTCAGATTGAATTAGACACTTCAAATGCACATGACATGTTTCAGTTCTGGTCTGTGTTTGAAGCTTCTCCTCAGGCTAACAGGACTATTAATACAGAGAACAAGAAAACCTGAAAGCACATTCCCCAAGTGGATGGCAACTACATGGTATTTTGTCTCAAGACAAATACTCATGAAACCTAAGCTGTGATCTGTTTGCAAGGGGTAATTGCTTTAGCTGGCTAATTAAATATCAGCTAGGATTCTATATACATATACGTATTTCATCTTCTAAGAGACTAATGCAAATCCTTCACAAATGTTTTATACAAGTGTCTGTGAAATAGATTTAACTTAAAGCTGGCTCTGAAAGTCTTTTACAAACAAGTCTAGTTAGATTTTATTAAGTCTTCCCACACAATTATATTTCATCAAAAGATGCACAATGATAGTTTTTCCTACCTTACATGAAAGCATTTTACCTTTCTATAGATTGCAAAGATGGTCCCAATGGAAACAAGACAGTCAATGTTTGAAGAACCATCTAGAGGATCTATGCAGACTATGTATTTACCCTAGAAAATACAAAAGAGTGAACTATATTAGTGACATTATTTACCCACTTTCCCCAAATAAAAACATTCCAGGAGATAAATTTTCTCAAAGACTTACACAGCACTACAAGCTAAAATGCTTTTATAGATTATAAAGGAACTGAATTCAACTGTTAGGAATTCTTTGGCTCCAATTTCATTATTGATTATAACCGTGATTTGTAACAAAGCAGAGGCTGAGAAATTTTTAAAGTACCTAGCAGATGATGACACAGGAAAGGTGAAGTTTTCCTACACAATTTTTAATACGAAATAAATAAATGGGAATACTTTTAAATTATTAGTTTAGCTTCATCTATGCAATTAAAGCCAATCCATTTTAATAGACATCCTGTAATATCCATCATCTAAGCTAAGATGCACTTGCTCTTCTGTAACAACATGGCTTTCTAAACCATAAGGAAAAAGACAAATGAAGATCAGTCTTTTTCAAATAGAGCTAAAAATCAGAGATGTTAAAAAGGCCTTTAACAGGTGACATGCCTAAACTATACATTTCACTTTATCTGTGCTCTGAAGCACATGTGGTCAAAAATTACCTTAGTCAGGCTGGTCTTGCTCTGGGTTTTGGGGACTCAAAAAAAATGGTCCCTGCCTATTGTTGGATTAAGGATTCCTGTAGGTATAGGAAATTGCCAGTACAGGGGAAAAAGTTGAATTAACTGTACCTTTTAAGTATCTTGTTCCCCCCCCCCCCCTTATTTTATTCACAGTTGTGTTAATAATAATGTATAACAAGAGTGTTTATTCACTTTTCATTTGAATTTATCCTGCATGCCAGAAATTTATTTAAGTTCAGCAATGCTTTACTCTGCAAGTAGGAATTCTGGGTAGGAATTGATAAAAACACCATATTAGATCATATTTAATTTAGAAAAGCATTAACACTGAGCATCCCTCAGTGACCTTTGAGAATCGTTGATAATATTTGTTCAGATCTAAGGCATCTGTGTTCATCCAATGCCTACAAAATCAACTTTGAAGATTTCTCAACAGGAAGAGAAAGAAAGAAGTGCTTTTCAAATTATGCTTTAATCATTTATTTTTACTAATTTTTTACTCAAATTTTTACATGATCACATCAAAATATTAGATAGGAAAAAGGAACTACCCCTCAAGAAATGCACGCAGATTTGTCAACATAAATAATAAATATGTAAAAATTACTTTTGTTTCATTGTTTGTAAGTCTTTCAGGGGCTTCAAGGAGAATATGTATGAATTAAAGACCTCGAGATTTGTCCTGCACAGAACAGCTCCTCAGTGTCCTACTGACAAAGTGACTTTACAACAGGGCTTGACTGACTCAGAGCATAGTTCCAGAGATCAGATGGGGTATAAAGAAACATTTCTTCCACAACCAGTAAAAGGTGGGAAAAAAGTAAGGTGGGGAGGAACAACAGAGAAAAAAATGAAAACAACAAACATCAGTCTGGAGAGCTGAAATGATAGAAAGGACAGATGTTGACTGACACTCTCTCCACCTACCCACTCCACCTTCATTTGCCAATATAGGAAAGTACCTGTTTTCTGAAACTTTTAGCAGGTTTTAGTTTCTCAAATCTGAAGCAACACAGCTTTAAAGGCTGATCTGAAATCAAGGAGGGAGAACTTTTAAAGCTACTAACCTGTTTTTCAGCTTCCACTATCACAGCATCTTTGTTTTCTTCTGACACAATAACACATGTACTGAAGGATGACTTGAGCATGTTAATCACCAGGTCATTGGAAAGAATATCCAACTTTTTTACTTGATCTCCTGTCACATTAGTAGACCCAGCAATTCCATAGCTAGAGCAATGGCAAGAGAGAGCATTTCATGAGAACGGAGCCCTGTCTTCCAAAGTGTGCTGTTTCTGGCAAACATATACTTGTAAAACCTCTGTAAAACATAGAGCACTTTTGGATGATAACTCAGCCCTCTAAGCCTGCTTTTTATTTACTGTCCAGTGAACTCTTGCTGAGACCTGTTAACTTCAGCTGTGGTGGCAAATCTAGAAGCTGATGAATGCAAGGAATACAAAACAAAGAATCACTTTTCAGTAAACTACAGGTAAACACAACTGGAGCAGGCTGTGAAGGCTGAATTACAATTGTGCTTCTTAATGACCTCTTAACTTCAAGACTTAAATACTGTCCCTGAATCCTAGGCTCCTAAGACTTCATTAGAAAACTTATACTTAAAAGTATTATACATATATAATATATATATGAATATATGTGTGAATCTTATGACACAAGTTATGCTATAACTTCTGTATGTAATATACATACGGACTCCTGATTAGCAATATGATGTGCAAATTGCAGCAGAAAAACTTTGCTCACAGATAAATCAGCTTTTTTACGGTTCATTGTTTTCAGTTTTGATTTTAAGTAGTAGACATTTCCTTGGGAAAAGAACAGAAAAATACAAATAAGAAACAAAAATAAAACACTATGAGCTAACCAGAATCAAACCATCTGGCATCTGGAAGTACCAAAGACTATATGACAGGTGATTTTGAAAGCATGCAAAACCAAGAAAGGGGAAGTTTAATTCTTAGAAGAGAAAAACAGTAGCCAGCATACATTCAGATGACTCTTATGCCCTTCAGCTGTGGTTCATCGATTACTCTGAACACTGGTATTTCAGGGTATTTTTAATAACACTGAACACACCACTTTAGGAATGCATTGCATTTCTTCAGTTTAATGTGTGAGACAAAGAAAAATTCTGTCTTTTTCTCTCTCTCTTTGTTACAGTGGCTTGAACATTTTCCTGCAATTGTGAAAGTGCTTTTAGAAAAAAAATGTACTCTGAACACCATGCTTTAGGTATGGAGGCACAGCAGCAGCTACAGTTCTCACATCTTGCCCGTTGGGGACTCCTGGGTGGGGAAGGCAGAGTGTCCATTGTGGGGCCTGAAGCTGGGAAGGGTCTGTACGTCTTCCCCAGCTGTTCTGCACCTTCCCTGCTGGGCAGCACTAAGCATATAGTTGAGCCTGGATCCAAAGAAATGGATTCCAGTGATCCCTATTTGTTCACATTCCTGACAGCAAAGCAATGTCCTGGTTATAAAACGCAGTCCCACAGTGGGAGATGCACTGCGAAAAGAGGCTTACGAGTCTGAAGCCTGGCACCTCAGCACTGCTGGAAAGTCAAACCCACTGCATATGATAAGGCAAGTCTATTTGTACAGGTATTGAACCTGTGGGCACCTGTCAAGAAACGCACATGTAGGCTGCAAAAGGAATAGGACCTTAGACTTACAAATCAGGTTACAGATGGGAAACCCTGGTCTTTACCAATAGTCATGAAAGGGCTAGCACATAACAATTAAAAATTATCACAGTTACATGATATCTGAAGTCAAAATAGAAAAATAGTTCAAACATGCATAAAGTGGAGGATTTTTGCCTTTTTCTTATATTTTCCACTGCATGGCTTGTAAAGGCAAAATCATTTTGTCTTTACAGTTTCCAGTAAGTGCTGAAGCAGCCCATGTCTAATGCCCTGATCGACATACAACTGGGAATATGAACAACAAATAAAATACTTAGGAGGATTAGTTACCTACAACCAGTTTCAGTTATTTCACATTTCAAGAGTTCTAATTTCCTAACGATGCATCTACAGAGCAACTTCCCTCTGACTGGCTGGCTACAGACACTACTATTCCTAACCAGTGCACTTTCTAAAAGCCTTAGACATCCAAAGTTTCACAGAGAAACTTTAGTTGCTATGATGTAATAGGAAAAAAGCTACACTGAATTTGATAAACACCTCAAAGCATAAAATCGTGCTTTGATACTAAGCAATATGCAATGAGCAATAATTCAGCTATATTTTGACAGGCTTTGTATTTCAGTCTGTTTGTTTGGTCTTATGGTTCAAAGTACCCAAACTTGCTGAAGGTTTGCATGAAGTTCTATTACTGGGAGACATCGCTCAAAGACTGCATGCCTAATACTATTAAAAAGTTATAGGAAATGTATTACTTGAGAAAATCAAGAAACCAAGATGCTAATGGAGTTACAACTGGGTGGGTTGATGCAACCCCACTCACAGACCTTCCTGGTAACCCTCATCCCCATTCCCATCCCCACCCCCATCCCTGCCACCCCGGAGGCACTCCTGGACCCGCGAGGATGCGGGAAGGTGCGGGGTGCATCCCGGGACTCACAGGTTGGCAATGCCCGCTTTACGGACGGCGGTGGAGATGGCTTTAATGGCCGTGCAGAGGGAGTTGAGGAGCTGCGTGAACTCCCCGGTGCTTTTCGCCCGCCTGCCCTCCTCCATCACGAAGCGGGTCATGGTGATGACATTGGTATCGAAGGTGGAGCGGTCCGTCATGGTGGCGGCGGGCGACACTGCGGACGAGGCTGCCGCCGCCGCCACTTGCCTCAGCGGGGCGGGGCGGGGACACGGGCGAGGCCATGGGCGGGGAGCGGCCCCGGCCCCACCACCCCCCACACCGCTGGGCTGCAGGAAGGCGGGGACGGGGGTGGGAATGACAAGCGGGAGCCCATCTCATCATCCCCCCGGTTCTCTAAAATATGAGGGAATAGCGGCGGGGAAACCCCAATCTCCGCAAGCATACTTTTTTTTTTTTTTTTTTTTTTTTTTTTAAACCAAGTCTTATCTCACTCTTTTACATTGTGGGGTAGAGGCGGGGGAAAGATGCTTTGGGCATCCGTTATGTGAACGGCACAGAAAATCAATCGAGACAGGGGTGCTGGTAGCTCTTAGTGTTTGCAATGGTCACGTTTCAATGCTAAGGCTCTTGGAAGCATGCCCAAAAATTCAGAAGTCCACTTCTTTCACCGCTTGATTGCAAAACTGCATGCGGCATGTGAACTGCACACAATCTACAGAGTAAGGTTAGTATTTTCCGCCTCACAGGAATGTTCTTATCCTGACCCATCAGTACAGGAAAAACACACATTTAGTAACCGATTCTATCAAGTATTAACTTATTCTGTGTACAGAGATCATGCTAATCCCATGTGCCCCAAAATATCCCACAATATAAAAAAGCTGCAAGGAAACAGCCGCTGGCAGCTGGACTCAATGAGATTTTTATAACAAATTCTCCAAGTCTGTTCAATAGAGAGATGTAGGTTGAGTTCCACTTCAAAAGTCAGAAATTAATGCACCTCATACAAATACTGCTGCAAGGGAATCTAGACCCTCCTTAGTCTCTTTTGATTCCAGACTAGCTGTTTGTGCAGCAAAATCAAGTAATATGTTTTGCTGCTAATATTTGATCAGAAAAATCCAAGCACCAGTGTGGGAAACCAAGTTCACCCAACACCTGACCCTAGATCCACCTTTTCACACAATAACTTGACAAACACAAATCTGAATATGGGTGATTTACTCTATACAGTGCAGATTTGTTGTACCAGCCATTGTTTTATATTTCCACTATCTAAGGAGATCAATAACTAAAAATCTTAATTATTTTCAGTAGAATACATCCATGAATTGAATGAGCACAGTCTCAAATTCTAAATGGAAATCTCAGACTGAAGTCTTCCAGGTTGTGTCAAACACAGGGCAAAAATCTTCTAAAAGGTGCGCCTCTTTGCATATACATACATTCTCTCTTCATCCAAAGCACATTGCATATCTATACATTACATGCTTCAAAGGTATGCATAAATGTCTTCTCCTTAAAGCCATGCCCAGAATTACAGAGTGTCCTAAAGACATTAGGTATGAGTAGTTGAAATGCTCTTCTGAATGGGATATTTCAGTCTTTGGCAAGTGGTTACCAGCCCAGCAGGATAAAAATGCTCTTGGAGCAGCAGGTGGATTTTGGAAAATTTATGAAACATTGAAGTTAGCTTTTTTTTAAAGGGTAAACAATGCTTTACAACGATCTACAGCAGCTACATCAGTCTTAATAGTTGAGAACAACTAATAGCAAAAATCCCATAAAATTTTGGATGAGTGCACTTAAACTGGGTAGAAGCAAGTAGACAGAACAGCCTGGGAATATATGAGTCATGGTAACAGACTCCAGAATTTCTGATTAGGGACAATTCATCTTAAATGTGAAGACTCTAACGAATACTTCAGTAATCTGCAGGAAGAGCTGTACTTCAGTATCAAATAGTCAAGGTCAGTTCAAAATGGACACAACCTAAAGTTTTAATACCCATGCCTGAGGATAACCTCTTTCATTTTACTCACACAGCTATGCATACTCTCCCTGAGTTCTAAGATGAAACCTCAGCTGAGAATTCTGGAGTTCGTGAGATGAGCGGGACAAGAGTTTTACTCCTCTGTTCCTACCGTGGAAGCCAGGTAGAAAAAAGTAAACTGTGAACTGAAATAGAAATCCTTTGAAAGGATTCTGGTTTCTTACAAATCCATCCAGATCAGCATTTTCTACTGTGGGAGCAGAATAATTATTTTTATCATATAGAGCATGCTCTCAATCTTCTGTACTCAAGGCAACTTATTGTGCTATAGATTAACCCATTTCCACATCCCTCGCCTTAGAATATATGCACACACCGGTAATTTCTGGAATTCCACCGTAGTGTAGAAAGTTGACTTTGCATTAAATAATTATACTTTATGGTAGAGTGTAGACAAGCTGTGCAGCCCTACAGCAATCATGCTGTGTGGTAACAATAAAATCAGTGTAAGATTAAAAGTAGGTTCCACATGTCCCTTTAGAAAACAGTAGTTAAACATTTATTGAAAATGAATTTGTAGATTTGAGAAGGTCAGTGCTGGTTGACTAAACATTGCTGAAACAGCTCACTTCTATATAGAAGAAAACGTGGTCTTATTTGCGCACAGATGACGTCAACCAAACAACACGGTTCACAGCAGTTTTAGAACTCTTCCAAAAGCTTCCAAAGCCATGTAACTCCTTTGGAACAAACTTTTCACCCAGCACATAAAATCCCAAATGTGTAATTATTTTGAAACTAAGACAAATGTTGATGAGAAATCCCCAGGTATTCTGTTATGAATGTTGCACCTTGTAAATTTAAATGACAGCCAAAAAGACAGCGGCTGTGAAACTCCTTCTCAAAGGTCTTTTTTCCCCCCTGAAGTAAAAGTGCCCATGTGGGAAAGGCAGCTTTGGATACCGCTTTTTCTGAAGAAGAATCTTCTTTTTGCAAAGGTCCCAAAACAGCAGAAGTTGTGTGCTGCCTGGGCGGAGAAGAGGGTAAGATCCAGCAAGTCACACTGAAATCATTTGCAAGGCCATGTCACTTCACCAGATACCCTCTATCTTGCAATGCTGTGATGATTAGGGCTGGAACAGTGCATCCTGCCTGCTGCAATATCTGTATGAGGAGGAAATTATTAGGCTGATTTCTAGATGAACAACCAATATTTTGTCTTCATTGCTTCAGAAAGTGCTTCCTTTCATCTGTGTGAATTTCTGGGACAGTATGCACACATAGGAGATAGAACATTTATTTATGACTATGATAGCAAATCACTCCACATCTCTGAACACGAGTGAAAGATACCAAATGCCATAAACTGATGTCTAAACTCCGGTAATTATGAGTACAAATTGGCTAAAAATAATTTCTCCATGTAGCAGATGTAAAATGGGCTTTATTTGATACTATGCATTATATGACTCTGACTGAGTAATAAGTAGAATTAAACTACAAGGTTGAATTTAACTGACGTGAAGGGATTTTCCCCTGCCGTGTTCGCCTGGTGCCCTCTTGTGGGAATTGGAACACTGACAGCATTCCTTTGTGAGACCAGCTCTGGGAGTGTACCTTTGCAGTTTTCTGTAGGGTGACAAAGCACTTAATGTGCAAACAGTAGATCTCGGAAAAGAAGTCTACATGCCTCTGAAATACAAACATAAATACTGAACCATAATTTTAAAATCTTTGTATTTTCTACTTATCCACAAGATTCTGGCAAGCAGAGCAAAGAGTATGCTACCTCAATATTGCATTTGCTACCACTTCTCAACTTGTAAAATGCATAAGTTAAAAGTTTTTTAAGTAATCACTCCAAGTTTGTGTCAAAAAATTAAAAAAACCCCAAACAAACAAACAACAAACAGAAGCAAAATGCAAAATTAATGTTAAAAACACAGGGAGATTTCAGTGCACTCAATACTAGGCTAAGAAGGTAAGCAAGATGTAGTTAAAATTTTTAACAGTTCACTTTGCAGAAATAAATAACCTCTGTCAACAATAACCTCTGTCAACAATAACCTCTGACTGACATGCCATGATTATATGATACAATTTGTCAGTGTAACAACCAAGTAAAAAAAAAAAGGAAGAAAGATTGTTTTTTGCATTTAAACTGGGAACCTGCAAAATTCAAGATTGACGGAGGAAGAATGATTGGTCTAAACAGTCAAACTCCATTCTCAAACCCTGATCATAGGTTGGATTGCCAGGACAGGTCTTCCATTAATGTTCTTGCAGATTTATTTGCTGGCTCAAATAACTATTTATATTGCTATAATTCCAAGTACAGTCTGTCCAGACTTTTCTTCAGGATGAGTTACATGGACAGTGCCACAGAAGTTCAGCTGTGAAGATCCAACTCAGCATTTTTCAGCTATGGCAATTTCAATTGTACATGATCCAATTCAGAATTTCTAGATAATCTCAAATGTTTATCAGCGCAATTAGAAGTATCTTCTTCTATAAGGTTTGATGCCTTTGAATTGTTATGATTTTTAGCTTTTTATAGATTTTAAAGTAGCTGTGTAGTAAATATAGATTTTTAGTATAGCTGCGTAGTCTGTCACACTTTAGAATAGTAGTTATACACTTACCAAACCCTATACCCCCATTTCATATTGAATTTTCTAAATTCTTTAAGTTTGTTAAGACTCCTGTCAAGGCAGGCCTTCATTCTGTTTAAGAACATTTGCACCCCAGGCCTGAACAACAAAATACCATCGTAGTCAAAGCAACCTTCAAGCCCGGAACCTTGGAGAAGTTCCAAAGACAGTACATGCCATGAAGAAGAGGAAGATGAGGAAGAAAGGGGTCTTAGGACCTCCTGACTCAATTCCAAAGAGACATGTGAGGGAGAGGATCTGAGGAGTGGTTAGTTCTGAGATTGGATGGATAATACTATATATTGTGGAACCCCTGGAGATGGGGGTGCACACCTTTTTCTGTACTCCTGTGGCCAGAAGGCCTTCATTAAAGACCTGTTCTCTTATCTTATCTCTATATTCAATTTTCTTGGAGTTTTTTCTGCTTGAGAATTTAATTTCATGACTCAGGCAAGTGTGAAAGGGTTCTGTAGGCTAAACCCCAGCCCTTGCCTTTTGAATGTGCTAGAACAGGTCCCAGTGCCAGTTCATCATACAACATAGAGCTGATACCCAAAACACTGTATGTGTTAAGACAGGGAGGAACCAGTCTAGATGT